CACCTTTAGTAATGTCGATACTCAAGTAAAAGTTATAACTGACGGTGCAACTAATTTCAAGTCCACTGCATGGTGCAAGAAGAGGCTGAAACTGCAGATTTCTTGGGTACAGTACGAAATAAATAGATAAGTACGACACACTGAACTCAATGAATAGGTGGCACAGTCGGGTAATATGTACAGCACGAAAGAAATAGATGAGTACGGCACATTGAACTCAATGAATAGGTGGCACAGTTAGGTTACCCGCAGAACCACCAGATTCTGTTGTGACGCACCTTTTTCAATGTTCACGTGAGTTTTCAGTCTCACGTGACACAAACGGTAAGTTTCCTGCATGCTCAGAGCACTAAGTTTCAATATCAAATAGATCGGAGTCCTCCATGTTGATTCTCATATTTTAAATTACAGTGTTTTGGGGGATTTTTGAAAACTACGTATGCCTAAAATTAACATGTCTTACAACTTTCTCAAATAAGCATGTCTTTTCAAACAAATACTTGACCGGTTAATTAATGAGTTTTCGTTATTTACTCATTCGAACATTGTTTTTACATGTGGCAAAGTTTTTTTCTCCTTTTCCTAGAATGAGTTTGTGACGACAACAAGAGCCCAACAGAAAAAAAAACTATGCATATATGTGATTTAAAATTTGCCTGATTCATTTCGGACCAGCTTTAACCATTACAGCGGCCGCAGCACATTTACCTATTATATCTCACAAAATAGTAAAAAATGTTAAAGTTAGCATAACCACACCTTTGAAATGGGGTTATGTTTGAAGGAAAGGCAAAAAATTTACCCTTCGAAGATTGTAAAGCCAATTATCTCATCTGCGTATTATTGCCTTCTCTTTGCATGCTCCCCGTAAACGTGCCTGATACCGTATGCTCCTTGAACTAGTCAGGCTGTAGCACACGTGTTCTGCTCCTTTGATGTACACGTGTCGCATGTGCAGTGAAAAGTTGAAAAGTGTACTCGCAAACGTGAAGTACAAGCTCCCTAAAGACAAGTTCCTTGATGTAAAAACAAGTTCCCTGTGCGGCCTGTGACCATGCGTACATCAATGAGACAGGCGATATTCAAAGGCGCCTGAAGGAACACTACAAATCTGTCTCTCAGAACAAAACAAAAAAACACATTTTTGACCACAACAAAGATGAAACCGAAATCTATCTACTATTTTGTGCCGGAAGGAAACCGAAATTTTTTCAATCGTTCTTTTTATTAATTCTGCACTGAAGCATACATTCTGGAGTGCTTCAAGAAAAGAAGAGAAAAAAGAGAAGAAATTAGGCACTACTTCAGAAGCCAGTTGGCAGGTAAGGGCTTAGTACCAATACTTCTCCTTCGAATTGTCTACAAATGCTGTCCTACAGCATTCATCTCCCACCATATCGTTTTTTTTTTCCTTTGTAAGCACTGTTTTTCTATTCACCACTAACTCCTGCCTTTTTTTATTTTAATATATTTTCTGTTCAAAGGAATACGCAAAGAGGCATGGCATCCATAGTATGCTGTGAAAAGCCGCCTTTGTGAATCTGCTCCTACACCTTCGCTGGAATTTGGAGAGTCGATTGTGCTTCTAGAAAAGTTCTCTAGGAACGAGGAGTTCTCATTAAAAATGTCTGCGTGAGAAAATCAACTTACAGGTGTGTTCAAACTGCAGAACTGTTACAACTTTTGTGCTTGCACCTTTACACTGCAGAATCATCGAGTGGCTGGTATTCACAGATTTCTGCAAATTTTTACAGAAAGCTGTTCACCGCTGTCTACAGGTCAATCATCCCGCCCCGCCGCGGTGGTCTAGTGGCTAAGGTACTCGGCTGCTGACCCGCAGGTCGCGGGTTCAAATCCCGGCTGCGGCGGCTGCATTTCCGATGGAGGCGGAAATGTCGAGGCCCGTGTGCTCAGATTTGGGTGCACGTTAAAGAACCCCAGGTGATCAAAATTTCCGGAGCCCTCCACTACGGCGTCTCTCATAATCATATGGTGGTTTTGGGACGTTAAACCCCACAAATCAATCAATACAGGTCAATCATCCCGACCACTCTTTTTAAGCAGTTCCATGCCTTTTAGCAATTGTGTTCGATACTATCATTCATCACTCAATGCTTCCCTTAATTTATCATAAGCTACCGGTCATTTGCTCTCCATTCTTTTTTCTCTGTTCCAGTTTTGCCTGCCAACACGTGCTGGTTCTCGAAAACTACAGGCTTTGCTCTCATCAGGCAAGTCAGTTTCACTGCTGTACTTTCACAGATGCATCTCTAAAATTTCGCTCTTTGCAGAGCGCGAAACGACCATAGCTTCCCAATCATCAGTAGACTGGTCCTTGCTATTACTCTAACTATAAACTTTGGTTTGTTTCTTCTTAAATAATGTGAACAACTGACTTCTATATGTAATAAACTAGCAATCACAGATCACCATCTCAAGTTATTGACTCCATCGTGCTAGGTCCGAGCACGATGGGACCTAGGATCTAGCACAGGTCGTAGAACCTGTGGTAGGTCCTGGCTTGCAGGCCTGTACAAGTGTTTCTGCTGGTACAACGCTTCGTTACCAACGTTTACAGCTAGTCCAAATGGGACGCAAGAAAAAAATCGTGCTGGACGATATTGCAAGTATGACAGCGTCTCAAAGAAATCAACGACCCAGATTGAGGACTGCCCGCACATTGTATCAGGTAACAACGGTATAAGCCTCCAGCGTCATTTGCAGTGAAACCAAAAGAAAGTGTACGACAACGTCTTGGCCAACAAAATCCGCTCTGCAAAGCATGTTGCATTAGACATGGTGGACAGTTCTCCTGCGGTGCACATTCCTTGTTACCTGAAAGGTCTTCCTAATGGTGTGAGAAAGAATGGGGACATTCTCATCGATGGCCAAGGGGGCCAGTCCTGCGGACTTAATCACGTTTCTGTCTGCCTTCGAAGATGAGAGGCGTGCTGTTTGCGCCATTCTTTTTGCTTCATTGGGTGCCAAGCTGCTACGTAGGTTCACCTCTGTACTCTTGGTAGCCCTCGTGCCCCGAGGGGCCTACGAGGAGATAACTTGCTGGTAGGCTTGAAATACGTGTACTTCTGTTTGTCTCTCCTCTTTCAGATGGTGGATTAGTTTAACAATAGCTAGGCATTCATTGTTTTTATTACTTTTAGGATGTTTGAAAGTTAATCCTAAAGGTTCCACTTGCCTCCCACGTGCATCTGTCCATTGACTGCCGATCAAACCTTGTTTTATTGCAACTTGTTCAATTCTTGGCAGTACATCTCGATTTTACACTTTAAAATAGCTACTTTCTTACGCAGCCTTCGATTTAGCCTCTGCGTTTGCCATCTGGCAAATAGGAAGTTTTTGGCCCCTACCAGGTGCATCAAGTGCGCATGCATCCTGTTTACCTTTTTGTCAATTTAAATTATTTTAGTAACAACTTTAACGTCCTTTTTGAGTTTAACTTAGAGGTCTGGAAACGACTCGTACACATCAGAGTCTGCGACATTGTTTACGAAAGGCATCCCAGTCTACTACACTGAACACTTTAGGGGGAGCTGCCCTTAACTTCCATGAAAATTTTCACAATAAAGTGGTCCCTGCCCAGATTTTATTGCTTATTGTGCCAATGAATGCGGCTAGCTTTCTTAACGATGGCCAGATCAGACGTGGTGTCCCGTGACAATGAATTACCGATGTGCGCGGGAAACTATGGGTCCGTGACTAGCTCTTAAGAGCAGTTTCTGTCCGCTTGAAGTAGATTTATTCCTGTCAGGGAGTGTCTTACTTAACGCTATGCTTTGTGCAGTGTGTTAAAGTCTCCAGCTACGATGAGCGGTGTCTCCTTAGCTTTTTCCGCCTCCTTAGCTATACTATATTTTGCAAAAGCAGCACCTATCATTTCAAGGTGTTGTGAATTGTGTTATAGTAATTCCTACGATCTACCATGTGTATGATGTTTCATGCAATGAACACCGAAGAAACGACTGTGACAGCACCGCATAACAAAAAGATTTCATTGCCGATGCGTCAGCGCATAACCTTAAAGGGGACCTGAAACTTTTTTTCAAGTAACCACGGAATCCATTCACAGGAAAAACTTATTGCCTCATGAATTCAACGCCGCAAAAGTTTTAAGAATCCGTCCAGTGCGAGTGGAGTTACAAAGGTTTGTCGCATGCTGCAATTGCATTCTCTCTTCTGTCATCCCGACGAAAGCGCTGGAAGCTAAGCAGGGAAAGATGGCAGGGCTACAGAAAAACGTCACATGCGCCTCGTCGTTTTGTGCACTTTTTTTCTTTTTTTTTTTCTTCGAATGCGCCGCTTTTTTTGGTGTGATCGCGCGCTCACGCGTGGACAAGTCGCAGCCTCCTACGGCGATCTCTGTGATGAGCGAGCGCCATGTTAAAATCAGCCAATGGCTGATAGATTATTGATAGATTATTGATAGATTCACGTGTGATTCTGGGGCATATTCCGCCATTTGTCAAGAGAAGAAAAAGCAATGTTTAGGTCACTTTATCAAGTTATTGTGAATTCCAGACCGCGTGTTCTGCTACAATATTTGGCTAGCGTGTTGTCAGGAGTCTCTAATAACGATCGGCAGCGTTTTCTGACCATGCTCAAAAAGTGTTGCAGGGCTCCTTTAAGAGGGCTTGCAGGAGTGCGACAAAGATAACAAAAATTATATTTTGCACCGTGCTCATAATAGAGCTTGTTAGAATAAAACAGTTTTCTCTCGCTCAGTTTTCTCTCTCGTGTGGTGTGCAAAGCCTCTTCTAAAGGCAAGCTACAGGGCAGCCGCAGCCGAGCAGCACTAGAGCAGCACTGTTACGAGCTTTCCCTATTCTTCTACAGCGACAATCGCTAGAGTTTCTCTATGAAATAGCGTATTGCTCCGTGTTTACTCAATACAATCCCTGTCTGCAAACATTCTGAAACCATAGCTATCAGCAAGGACTGTATATGCAAAAAACAACAAAAAAGAACTACATTTGGTGACAAACCAGTCTGCTAGTGCCTCATGTTGACAACAGAATTCAACCTATGTTTCGTCGCTTCAAGGAAGTTGAGCAGTTGGTGGACCAGTCTGGCAAAAAGAAAAAAAATATTAGTACGGGCCTGCATCTTCATAGCCCAAAAAAATAAACAGACCATGTGTATGCGCCATTAATGAGAAACACTTCCGTCCAACGACAACATATAGGGTCAATTTACAGACACACACATTTGCGCACCAAGCGAACGTGATCTCTCATCAGAGCCCGACTGGTTGCCGTCTGCTTAACAAACGTCACCGGCTTGTGCATGAATTGTATTTCAATACGCATGCTTCTTATCACTGTTTCGCAAGGAAAGAACTGAATGTGAATACTGCAGCCGACTGTTCACAACAGGGCACACAAATCACATGCACAAGATCAACAATTCCCAGCCAAAATTTGACTGCAACGACTGTGACAAAACATTCTTAACGCTGAAAGAGCTCAAGCTGCATCATGTTAGCGAACATTTGTTCAAGCCAAGAAGCACGACTTTGCGAAAGACAAGTAAGGTGTCCCCCCTTGCACGGCTGTGTGCGCAGCTGTGCAATTAAGAGATCACTTCTCAGTATTAGGGACGACGGGCGAAACTGAATAGAGTCGCCGCAGGTGGTGCGCTGCCCCCCCCCCCCTATCTAGGGGAAGCGCAGCGTCCCCGTCGTGGCGCGCGGTCGATGCGGCACGATCAACTGTGAAAAAAGAAGGGGGGGGGGGGGCAGCGCACCACTTGCCGTGACTCTAATCAGTTTTCCCCGTCGTCGCTAATACTGAGACGCGATGTCTTAATTGCACAGCTGCGCACACAGCAAGAGAACGCAAACCAACTTCTGCAAGGCGCACTTCATTCCGTTAACGAAAACGGCCAGCGCCATTCATACACTCGCGAACAAGTTATTCGCTCACGCACTCGCTAAATGCACGGTGGATGGCGCGTCGTTGCTTCCCTAACTCAAAGACGCAATCTCTTAATTGCACAGCAGCACACACAGCAAGAGAACACGTTAATTGCACAGGCGTCGTTCATTTCGCTAATTAAAACGGCCAGCGTCCCTTGCCCGGTTGCAAGGGTCGTTCTTGCACTGGGGAAATGCACCGCGGACGACACAAAATCCTCACGGAAAAGTAACAACTACAGGGGCAAATTTTTCCGCCAAATTTGGCGGCAGTCTGGCAACAACCAATCCTAAATCTGGCAACTGATATATGCAACGCCAAACAGAACTTTGCCAATCTTTTTCTTATGTGCTCAACTTTAATTTTGGTTTCCAAATATTTACACATACTTTATAGTGCTAAGTAGCTTACTGAATATAAAATGAATCCACAAATTTAATCCTAGATTGTTACACTCTAAAAAATGTTAAACATGCTACACATGATTAAAATGCACGCCTTAGTGACAGACTTCCGACTGATATTGACAGCTCGGTGGGGTTCTTAATTGTGGACCCCAAAACTCAAAGCAAGGGCATTTTGAATTTGACCGGCATTGACATTCTTCCACTATAGTTTGATTACAGGCCAAGCAGCATGATGTGCAAGATATTTCTGCCTTTTAACATAAAAAATTGCATTGCTGCTCGAAATTTTTGAATTCATGGTACCCATAGACATTGTAATTTTCGTCTCAAGTATTATTTGAGTCAGGGTATATAGCACACACAAGAAAATGTCTCGTTATCAATGTTTAAAATGAGCATACCGTCTGTTTCTCTCTCTCTACCTCTTTTTACTGTCTGGGTCTTCTTTGCCACCTTTCCTCATCGTCTTTTTTTTTCGCGAAGTGTTAACTGTACTCCAGAAGTTGAGTTTTTACATGAAATTTGAACCAAACACGAGATATGAACGAGAGTATAAATTTGCTTATCCACGCATTACAACAGAGAGCCAAGATACTTCTAAAGATAGAATTTATGCGCAGATACCTAATTCCAAACCTCTTCGTGAATATCACTTTTTTTTTTGGTGCAAAAAACGGGTACTCAGTGGGACGGACCAGTACGAGTTCTGTTCAGCTATTCTATATTGCTTCTACCACTGCTTCCTATAACGTCAACAGCCACCATAGGAAAAAAAAAAAGTAGCTGCGCTAGCTCATTCTCCCATTTGTACGTTCTTACAAGCTCGGGCCTCCTACTTCGAGCTCGATAGGCTCGGTGTGCGTAAACGGCAGAATAAGTTTCTCAAGAATTCTGCAGTACTGGTCGCAATATTACTTGAGCTTTCGAGATACCAGACCGACGAGGCGAAGCCATGCATGGGAACTTGAAGAATACAAATTTAGTAATAATACGTTTTTCCTATTCGTTCTTCCCGCACGTGATTCGAGAATGGAACACACTGAATCCAGTCATTACACAGCATCCAACATTAGAGAACTTTATGAAACTAATTGAAGACACTGATCTATTCTAACCTAGTTAGCATGTACAGTGATCACCTGTTTTTCTTCACGCAGTCCTTCCTGTTTCCAATTGTCATTCTAAAACACTTGTTAGCATATATTTATTGTTTAATACGGTTCCTTGAGAACAATACTCGATCTGTGTTTTCTTTTTTCTCTGCTTCGTTTCTTCTCGACTCCTGTTTTTTGTTGGTGTACCATTGGTGTACTTCGTACTTGCTTATCGTTCAAATAACTATGTATGATTGTTCTATGCCGTACTGCTGTGTTCAGTGATTATGTGTTCCTTATTATCCTGCTTTTTCTTTATTCAAACATCGAACGTTGTGACAGTGATGCTCACGCCTGTAATTATCCCCATGGGGGATTGACAGTATTCTGTAAAATAAATAAATAAATAAATAAACATATTCACTGTTGCGTGTCACAATATAGCTACAACTCCTGCTATGTGCCAGCAGAAGCTTTTTACACGACGTGCGCTAACAGACGCCGTCAATGCTGAAGTACATACTTGAATTGCGCTTCTCTCAGCAACTGTTTGAAAACATGACGGAATAAAAACGACCACCTTCACCTCAGACTACGCACACCAACACACCAATGTTCTTCCAGGAGAACGAAGAAAGGTGCTGGGAGCACTGCAATATTAGCTTCGGTACAGTACACTGTAGCTTCGGCGAGTTTCACTGCTTGAATTTGATATTTCATCACTATGTAAGCAGCCATTTTAATTGAGACTTCTTTGGATATAGATGAACTTGGTTACATAGTGCGCGCTTCTCACTGAAGCCAAAACAAGAAAAAGTTATAACAACGCCTCCTAAAAAAATTTAGTGTGGCTAAAGTTGCGTCCAGACGTAACTATAGCCAGCGCTATGGTTACATACAGCCGTAACTATAGCCAACAGTAGCGCTACGTCTAGACATAACTACAGCCACTGCTTGCGTTACGTCCACGGTACCCACCATAGTACTACGGTGACAATTGCATCTGCTATGGTAACGTTTGGCACGGCCGCTCGCTGAATTAAGCAACTATAGCCAGCGCTATTGCTACGCCGACCGTAACTAGAGCCAACGGTAGCGCTACGTCTAGACATAACCATAGCCACTGTTTGCATTACGTCCATGGTACTACAGTGACGTTTGCATCTGCTAGAGTTTCATGGAACTTCAACTAATTACAGAGAAATTCTTTTCATTTTTTGTGGTGGCTACAGCAAGAAGCAAATACTTGATTGTTTTAGTGCGCAAAACCATTTACATACAACCTAAACACACACAGATACAACAAAAACAATCGCGCACAGTGAGAAATATTTGTCACCGAGAGCCAGTACACCATGGATTGGCAGACTGCACTTCTCACTCGACTAATAGGAACGTTAGGCCGGCTTCGTACATGAATGCCAATCAATGGGGTACTGGCGTTCGGTGACAGTAGTGTTTCTCACTATGCGCGATTCTTTTTGTTGTACCTGTGCGAGTTTAGGTTGTATATAAATGGTATTGCGCGACTATAACAATTATGTATTCACTTCTTGCTGTAGAGGCCACAAAAAAATGAAAAGAAGCATTTCTCTGTAATTAGTTGAAGTTTCATGAAAATGCAGACACTGCGGAATCAGGGCGCAGATGAAGTATATATGAACATTCTGGAAGAAATCTACAGGGGATCAACTGCTACCATAATGCCTCATAAAGAAAGCAACAGAATACCAATCAAGAAGGGTGTAAGGCAGGGGGACACAATCTCCCCAATGCTATTTACCGCGTGCTTACAGGAGGTTTTCAGAAGCCTAGAATGGGAACAGTTAGGGATAAGAGTTAATGGAGAATACCTTAGTAACCTGCGCTTCGCCGATGACATTGCATTGTGAGTAACTCAGGGGACGAATTGCAACTGATGATTACGGAGTTACACAAGGAGAGCAGAAAAGGGTGGGTCTTAAAATTAATCTCCGGAAAACTAAAGTAATGTACAACAACCTCGGAAAGGAACAGCGCTTCGAGATAGGTAATAGTGCACTTGAAGTTGTAAAACACTATGTCTACTTAGGGCAGGTAATAACCGCAGAGCCTAACCACGAGATTGAAGTAACTAGAAGAATAAGAATGGGGTGGAGCACATTCGGCAAGCACTCTCAAATTATGACAGGTAGATTGCCATTATCCCTTAAGAGGAAGGCATATAACAGCTGTATCTTGCCGGTACTTAGCTACGGAGCAGAAACCTGGAGACTCACAAAGAGGGTTCAGCTTAAATTGAGGACGACGCTGCGAGCAATGGAAACAAAAATGGTAGGTGTAACCTTGAGAGACAAGAAGAGAGCGGAGTGGATTCGGGGACAAACGGGGGTTAAGGATATCATAGTTGAAATAAAGAAGAGGAAATGGACATGGGCTGGGCATGTAGCGCGTAGACAGGATAACCGCTGGTAATTAAGAGTAACTAACTGGATCCCCAGAGAAGGAAAGCGGGTTAGGGGGAGACAGAAGGTTAGGTGGGCAGATGAAATTAAGAAGTTTGCGGGTATAAATTGGCCGCAGAGAGCACAGGACCGGGTTACCTGGCGGAACATGGCAAAGGCCTTTGTCCTGCAGTGGACGTAGCCAGGCTGATGATGATGAACTGTACCACTCGGTTTTCAGTTTGCATGAATGAACCAGTGAAGGGCGTGACTGGAGCTTTGTGTGTGTGTGTGTGTGTGTGTGTGTGTGTGTGTGCGTGCGTGCGTGTGTGCGTGTGTGCGTGTGTGCGTGTGTGCGTGTGTGCGTGTGTGTGTGTGTGTGTGTGTGTGTGTGTGTGTGTGTGTGTGTGTGTGTGTGTGTGTGTGTGTGTGTGTGTGTGTGTGTGTGTCTTTTCACGAGTGGGCAGCTGACCAATATTCTCTTGTATGCAACCTATATGCACCAAGTCTGCCTGTACGAGACCCTCGGTAATGAGTAAGGGAACGAAGTGTATACTGAAGGGTTCGTTTCCCGTGTTTTGACACAATATTAGTGAAATCTAACAGGCAATAATGCCAAGTATCGGGGACGTTATCAGACTGAATTCTAATGTAAATGTGAAGAAAGAAAAGTGGGTAAAAAGATAACTTGTCGTGGACAGTAGCCACACCTGCGACTTTCGGATAACGCGTTCCATGCTCTACAATGGCGGCTATTCCCCAGCCACTTTAATGAGTATCTATGTGAATATTTTCTTGAACGTGGGAGTGTCAGGCAGCGCCACCAGTAGCCATGGTGTCAAGTGTGGTACGCTATTTATGAGCCTGTTTGGCATCTCGTAGCACGTGAACTTATCACGAGTGGGCAGCTGACCAATATTCTCTCGTATGCAACCTAAATGCACCAAGTCTGCCTGTACGAGACCCTCGGTAATGAGTAAGGGAACGAAGTGTATACTGAAGGGTTCGTTTCCCGTGATTTGACACAATATCAGTGAAATTTAACAGACAATAATGCCAAGTAAAGTATAAAAGACCAAATTCTAATGTAAATGTGAACAAAGAAAATTAGGTGAAAGTATAACTTGCCGTGGGCAGGAACCGAACCTGCGACCTTGGAATAACGCGTTCGATGCTCTACCCCAGCGGCTATCCCCAATATATATATATATATATATATATATATATATATATATATATATATATATGGACCTCAAAATCTCCGTCAAAACTGTGAGTAATAATCTAAATTTCCTCGCATGGTTTTATGAGGCTTCGGAGCACTTCGAGGAGCACGGTTTAGCCACCCAAATCAGTTACAACTTGAGAAATTAACGACTCATACTTCGGATAGGCCTAACAACGGCAGCCACTGGCTCCACTCCGATCAAATCAGGAATTCCGCAAGAGAAGCTACTACGCACCTGGAAAACCACCCTCGATTCTTCTTGGGACGTTCCGGAGCCTTGCCGCTACCATTTTATCTTGAATCTGCGGGAAAAAACGGTTTTTCTTCACCGAAAATCAACTGTGAGTAACACGTGTATCCGCCCTATGGGGGCTGCCATGTTGACAGGGGACTTTAGCACCTGCCCCCTCGTGCTCAAAGATTCAATGAAAAGGCAAAAGATCAACACAAATATTGGTAGCATTATTAAATCACGCAGAAGGAAGATTTCGGGCTCTGAGCTCAATGTTACCAGTTTCTGACCGGCGAAAACAAACCCACAAGCAATTTTTCCCACCTTATGACCATATGGGGGCCGCCATCTTGTGTGGGACCAAGCCACTTTGAGGACGAGTCATATCTCGGCTTTTACACACCCCAATACGACAAATCAGGTCTCAATTGAGTCGTTAAAATCCGGAGATAGCCGTAGAAAAAACCGCGAGCGCCCAATTCAAGTGAGAGCGTCAAAAAAGACTTATTCAGAAGACACACTCAGTGTTGCCGGACTGCTCTCACTGCTTGAGCTGGGTTTGGTGAAACAGCTTCCACGAATTAAGCCCACCGGAACTGCTCCTCCACCTCTTAGCCAATAAGCACAGATTATTCCAACTGCGGGAGCGGCCGCGTCAGCAGCACGGGTAAGTGAGCTCTGCACATATCTACCTATAACATATCTACCTATAACTTTAGCAATTTTGGTCCTAGGAGGGTCAGCGTGGTGTCTATTTGTTCGTGAAGATACGAAGAGTTCAACTGCTACAAATACTGCTATTACAAACGAAAATTTTAAATTTTAGGAGCGGAAAAAAGTGTGAATCTGTGAAAACAACAGTCAGACCACGTGCCCGGTACCGCGCAGTTCCCAACCGGAAAAAAACAAACAAAAAAATCGCGTGTTGATGGAACTACATTAAGAGGCCTGAGGTGCGGCCTCACCGGTAACCACCACCCGAAATGCACTCCCTCACCAGAGAAGGATTGGCCACCCTGGTGCAGTATCTGGCCACTACCTCCCACATGGATACGCCAAATAACTCACGGCCCTCAGTCCTCAGCAGCTGCGAAGCAACTGACTACGGTGGCGGTCAGATCTGCAACGCAGCAGAGGATGCTAAGAATCTCTGGACTACAGGCCGCCATTCGAACCTGAACTTGGCAACGTTTAAGGCTAGAACCTTATTTAGTGAGGGAAGTGTAGCTGTACTATTTGAAGAGCTAGAGGGTGGTAAATGGGATATAATAGGGCTCAGTGAGGTTAGGAGGATAGATGAGGCCTATACGGTGCTACAGAATTGGCACGTCTTTTGCTATCGGGGCTTGGCAGACAGAAGAGAACTGGGAGTGGGGTTCCTAATTCACAGAAACATAGCTGGCAACATAGAGGATTATTATAGCGTTAATGAAATGGTGGTAGGTATTGTAATTAAACTGAATAAAAGATACAAGATGAAGGTAGTACAGGCTTACGCGCCTACATCTAGCCATGATGACGCTTCAGTTGAAAGCTTCTATGAAGACGTGGAATCGGCAATGAGTAAGGTAAAAACACAGTATACTATAGTGATGGGCGACTTTAATGCAAAGGTAGGAAAGAAGCATGCTGGAGACCAGGCAGTAGGAGATTATAGCATCGGCACTAGAAACGCCAGAAGAGAGCTACTAGTAGAATTCGCAGAACGCAATAATTTGCGGATTTTGAATACCTTCTACCGAAAACGAGAAAACCGCAAGTGAACATGGAGGAGCCCTAATGGCGAAAGTAACGAAATCGACTTTATAATGACCGCACACCCAGGAATCGTGCAGGATGTGGAAGTGGTTGGCAAGGTACGATGCAGTGACCATAGAATGATACGGTCTCAAATTCGCCTAGACTTGAAGAAGGAACGACAGAAACTGATACGCAAGAAGCTAATCAATGAGCTAGCACTGAGAGGGAAAGTGCAGGAATTCAGAGTGTCGCTGCAGAACAGGTATTCGGCTCTTAGTGAGGAAACCAACCTTAGCGTAGATACAATGAATGATAATCTGACGAGTATCATTACGGAGTGTGCAGTGGAAGTTGGAGGCAGGGTGGTTAGACAGGACACTGGCAAACTTTCCCAGGAAACAAAGAACCTCATTAAGAAGCGTCAAACCATAAAATTGTCAAGTACAACAGACGAAATAGAACTGGCAGAGCTTTCGAAGTTGATTATAACGCGTAAAGTATGCGATGTAAAAAGGTATAACATGGAGAGAATTGAACACGCTCTGAAAAACGGAGGAAGCTTCAAAGCAGTGAAGAGGAAACTTCGGATAGGCAAAAGTAGAATGTATGCACTAAGGGACAAAGAAGGCAAAATAACTACCAATTTGGATAGGATAGTTAAAATAGCGGAGGAGTTTTACAGAGATCTGTACAGTAGCCGAGACAACCACGACCTTAATACTATAAGAACTAGCAGTAACCCAGACGACACCCCACCAGTAATGATAGAAGAAGTCAGAAAAGCTTTGGAGAGCATGCAAAGAGGCAAAGCTGCTGGTGAGGATTAGGTAACATAAGATCTGCTGAAAGATGGAGGACAGATTGTGTTAGAAAGACTAGCCACCCTGTTTACGAGGTGTCTCCTGACGGGAAGGGTACCAGAGTCTTGGAAGAACGCTAACATCATCTTAATACATAAGAAAGGAGATGACAAGGACTTGAAGAATTACAGGCCGATCAGCTTGCTCTCTGTAGTGTACAAGCTATTTACAAAGGTAATTGCTAACAGAGTAAAGAAAACATTAGAATTCAATCAACCAAAGGAACAAGCAGGATTTTGAACTGGCTACTCAACAATTGACCACATTCATACTATCAATCAGGTAATAGAGAAATGCTCAGAACATAACCTACCACTATGCATAGTGGTAGGTTTGGCACGGCCGCTCGCTGAATTAAGCAACTATAGCCAGCGCTATTGCTACGCCGACCGTAACTAGAGCCAACGGTAGCGCTACGTCTAGACATAACCATAGCCACTGTTTGCATTACGTCCACGGTACTACAGTGACGTTTGCATCTGCTAGAGTTTCATGGAACTTCAACTAATTACAGAGAAATTCTTTTCATTTTTTGTGGTGGCTACAGCAAGAAGCAAATACTTGATTGTTTTAGTGCGCAAAACCATTTACATACAACCTAAACACACACAGATACAACAAAAACAATCGCGCACAGTGAGAAATATTCGTCACCGAGAGCCAGTACCCCATGGATTGGCAGACTGCACTTCTTACTCGACTAATAGGAACGTTAGGCCGGCTTCGTACATTAATGCCAATCAACGGGGTACTGGCGTTCGGTGACAGTAGTGTTTCTCACTATGCGCGATTGTTTTTGTTGTACCTGTGCGAGTTTAGGTTGTATATAAATGGTATTGCGCGACTATAACAATTATGTATTCACTTCTTGCTGTAGAGGCCACAAAAAAATGAAAAGAAGCATTTCTCTGTAATTAGTTGAAGTTTCATGAAACTGCAGACACTGCGGAATCAGGGCGCAGATGAAGTATATATGAACATTCTGGAAGAAATCTACAGGGGATCAACTGCTACCATAGTGCTTCATAAAGAAAGCAACAGAATACCAATCAAGAAGGGTGTAAGGCAGGGGGACACAATCTCCCCAATGCTATTTACCGCGTGCTTACAGGAGGTTTTCAGAAGCCTAGAATGGGAACAGTTAGGGATAAGAGTTAATGGAGAATACCTTAGTAACCTAAGCTTCGCCGATGACATTGCATTGCTGAGTAACTAAGGGGACGAATTGCAACTCATGATTACGGAGTTACACAGGGAGAGCAGAAAGGTGGGTCTTAAAATGAATCTGCAGAAAACGAAAGTAATTTACAACAACATCGAAAAGGAACAGCGCTTCGAGATAGGTAATAGTGCACTTGAAGTTGTAAAACACTATGTCTACTTAGGGCAGGTAATAACCGCAGAGCCTAACCACGAGATTGAAGTAACTAGAAGAATAAGAATGGGGTGGAGCACATTCGGCAAGCACTCTCAAATTATGACAGGTAGATTGCCATTATCCCTTAAGAGGAATGTATATAACAGCTGTATCTTGCCGGTACTTAGCTACGGAGCAGAAACCTGGAGACTCACAAAGAGGGTTCAGCTTAAATTGAGGACGACGCTGCGAGCAATGGAAACAAAAATGGTAGGTGTAACCTTGAGAGACAAGAAGAGAGCGGAGTGGATTCGGGGACAAACGGGGGTTAAGGATATCATAGTTGAAATAAAGAAGAGGAAATGGACATGGGCCGGGCATGTAGCACGTAGACAGGATAACCGCTGGTCATTGAGAGTAATTAACTGGATTCCCAGAGAAGGAAAGCGGGTTAGGGGGAGACAGAAAGACAGAAAGTTAGGCGGGCAGATGAAATTAAGAAGTTTGCGGGTATAAATTGGCAGCAGCAAGCACAAGACCGGGTTAACTGGCGGAACATGGGAGAGGCCTTTGTCCTGCAGTGGACGTAGCCATGCTGATGATATATATATATATATATATATATATATATATATATATATATATATATATATATATATATATATATATATATATATATATATATATATATATATATATATATATATATATTATGAAGTCTTGGTAGTCTTGGCTGCGACAGCGTTTATTTGAGGAAAGACCTCGCAAAACGAACGGGCAGAGCCAGCACACAGACGATGACGATGATGATGACCCAGAGTGGCAATGAGGGCAAAGAGACAAGCGGATGATGGTGATTGTGATTATGCAGGGATGAGGACGATGTAAGTTACAAATGCCCACACTAATTCCCCCCCACTTGAAAGCGGACACCCTGGCCGCCGTAAGTCAAAGTGATGGGGAACATCGCGTGAAAGGTTTCATGCGACAAACGTGGACAATCTCTGTGCTGCGGTAGCGGCGGTCTGTTGGGGCGACGAGTGGTGTCACGCGATAATTAACCGGCGAAGCCTGTTCTAAAACAATGTATGGCCCGATGAAGCGTGGTTGGAATTTGTCACAGAGACCAGGAGTGCGAATAGGTATCAAAAGCAGCACCTCGTCACCAGGTTGGAAAGACACAA